GGATTGCGTCGATAATACGATTACTACTCACTTGTTGTCATCCACGTTTTCTGGTATAACCCTACACTTGTGTATTTGTCGTCATTCACTTGATGCTCAGTTAATGAATTTATTACAGGTACAATTAGTGGTAGCACCACTTAGATTACCTGACAAAGGTTCCCAAGTGACTTATCAAAATTTCGTCACCATTACCGATGCTACCCGCAAAGATACCTACATTTCCTTATTACCTCGAAAACTGTATTTCATTTTGTTGATCAATGTGACCATACGCCCTTATTACTACCCATAAAAGTGACTAATGCGCTTACGAATGGCGCAGCAGAGGTCGCGAACTAGTCTAGATTTCTGCTATACATCCGGGTACTCACTGGGAAAAAACAATAACAAAGGCAACAACCAGTCCCGGGGAATTGCGTTAGATCAGTGCCCCTTTAATGTGGGAGGAAAGCTCGATGTGAAGCAGGTTGCAGACGTTTACCACTTCGGTGAAACCCACGAGCACGGGTATGGTGCTGATAAACCTAGAAACATAATCGGGGCGAATCGGGCTTCGAACCAACAATCATAGGTTCCTGGCGTACCCAAGGGACGCAACTCTGCACAGCGAATCGCGGCACCTTAGACGACTGGGCCACCCGTGCCCCCTATCAGTTATCAGAACATGTGTTTCGGTCAATTTGTAAATTCGCCTTAAGGTCTTGAATTATCTAGCCATGGACATACTGATTCCTGGCCGGTCGGGTAGCCTTGTGGTTAAAGTGTTCGCTCGTTACGCCGAAGACCCGGGTTCTATTCCCAACATGGGTACAATGTGTGAAGCCATTTCTTGTGTCCCCCGACGTGATATTGCTGGAATATTGCTGAAAGCGGCGTAAAACCGTACTCACTAATATACTGATTCTGAGACTGTAGATGTCAGAGTGACCACTTTCGGCTTCGTCTCATAGGCGTGAGTCAGATGTTTTAGACCAATCAACTTAGGAGAGATTTCATTTTACTCCTTTACTCACTTGAAGTCTACATCCCCATCAAAATAGGAAAGGAATGATAACCATGTCAGGTAGTAATTTGGAATGAAAATAAGTATTGATATAAACAAATTAACTACGTGTAATGGATTCGGTAATTGCTTTCAGATATCACAAGATAAACAATAACGTCTTACTACGTTCTTGCGCAATACTAGTTTATCAACAAAGAAGGAGATGGTGAGGTGAGGTGAAATGGGGGTTAATGTCGCGTCCAAGAATATTGCACTTATAAAGCGACGTGCTTGTACGTGTGTGTGTTTGTGTGGCTGCTTGTACTAGTCCGGACTGATGCCGATTTATAGTGCTAGGTCACTGAGATACCATGCCGCAGTTTAACATGAATACCCCACTCAGACACAGTATACTGACTCCGAACCGACCAGTCCTTGTTTTAGCCCCTTAATGCCGAGCCAGACAGGGTAACAACAAGTACCATCTTTTAACGTATTTTGGTATGACGCGGTCGGGGATCGAACCCCGGACCTTCCGCTCTCCGGGCGGACGCTCTACCACTAGACCACAGAGGCGGTCCACAAAGAAGAAAGAAGGAACATACATGTAAGGCAATTTGAATTTATCCGAAATTTCAATGTTTATCGATATGGAATGGCAGTTGATAAAACTAGACAGTAGCAATGGATCTCATATTTACATATTTTATAAATAGAAATGTATTTATTATTGATTATTATTTAATTATATGATTTTCAATAATATTGCATATAAAACATTATTTTTGTGTGTCACATGTTGAATCTTCAAGCTACTCCACTTATTATTTGCAAGAATTAATGTGTCAAGAAAATAGTTCATGTGGTGTTAATACTGAAATATCCTTATGTAGTCAACTGTAATGTTTTAAATTTGCAGAAATGTCATTCTTATTGCTTGTGCCTAGTATGACAGGATAGTAGTCTCTTTTGAAAAATGGTCCGACAACAGAAATAAACATTTATGACTTTGGTGAAACCCACGAGTACGGGAATGACAAGAGAAAAAACCATAATCGGGGATGTGAAAATCATACGGGGTTTGAAGAGGGTGGTTTCACACCGGTTTCAGCAATACAGTAAACTACGGTTATAACGAACTCAAAGGGACTACTAATTTTAGTTCGTTATAACCGTAGTTCGTTATAAGCATATATACAGCATAACTACAGCATATAGTCGGGTCTAAAAAGTAAGTTCGTTATATCCGTTAGTTCGTTATAAGCGTGTTCGTTATAACCGTAGTTTACTGTATTCCACAATTCCACGACAGGGAACACTGGAAACTGTACCCATATGGGGAATCGAACCCGGGCATTTGACATGGAGAGGTTAGGCTGCTCCATCCCCCGATTGAAGAAAGAATTCAAAATGGACATAATTGCCCTCGAGAGCTGAGGAGTGAATTTAATCTTTGGAGTGTATCATGTTTTTCTTTTAGAACTGCGTAATGTATTATGCCTCCCTCATGTAGTACATTAATTCTTAATTTTCTTATGAGTATGGAAATGGGCTTTGTCGCTTTTATTTTACTTTTAAACTTCTATCAATTATTTCATACATTACGAACGCTATGGTCTTTGACGAATTCTGATCTCCAAATGCATGACGAGTATTTTGTACATCGGCTCGAAGGTAACAGTAATATTACATTACGTTTTTTAGAAAATAACAGTTTTGAAGGGGGTAGGGGTGGAAGTCTTACCTGTATGCTTCAGTTTGTTTGTTTGTTGTTTAACGCCGCACTCACCAATATTCCAGCTATAATCGAGTCTGGACCAGACAATCCAGTGATTGATATCATGAGCATCGATCTACGCAACTGGGATATAATGACATGCATCAACCAAGTCATGTAACACAGTCAAATAGGCTCAGCCATGAAATGGACTATGGCAAATAACTTTTTGTATATAGATTCTCGTAACTCAGCAGGGTACAAATAAGCTAAGCGGCAAAAGAAAGTATAGGTTGGCAATTTGTAATTTTTCCTAAAAACAGCGATAACTAGTGGAAAGTGGGTATTGGGAATATGACTGCCCAGGAACAGGTACCCAAAAACACCTCACCAGAACGCGCCACCTTTGACGGCGTTCGTGCGGTGACAAAACAATAGTGAAACAGCTTTCTAGCCTATGGCATAAACTGCACGTGCATGTTAGCTGTATAAATGCGTTCGTCTGCAGGGTATAACCACACGTAATGAAAGCACACAAAAGAAATGCCACGACTGCCACAGGAGCAGAGAGAGAGAGAGCCATCGGTATGGCCGAAATGGGGGCAACACAGGTCCAAATTGCCAGAAGGTTTCGTTGTACACCATTGACAGTAGCCAGGCTGATTCAACAGTACAGGCAGACAGGGAGGACACAGAACTGGCCTAGAACCGGACGACCCCGAGTGATAACACCTCTGGAAGACGGTCAGATACGGCTCATTCACCTGCGAAACAGATTCGTAACAGCGACGGCGACGGCAGCAACAGCGTTGGGACATCCCATTAGCCAACGTACAGTACTACGACGACTTCGTGCTGCTGGAATCCGAGCGTATCGTCCTTTCCTAGGCATGGTACTGACTGCTCAACATCGACGCCTGAGACTACGATGGGCGAGGCAGGTACGACGCTGGCAAGTGAGAAACTGGCGTCGAGTGCTGTTTACTGATGAAAGTCGGTTTAACTTGTTTCGAAATGACGGCAGAGAACGAGTTTATCGACGCAGAGGGGAACGTTTGGCCCCGGCGTGTATTCGAGAGGTCCGTCTATTCGGCGGGGGAGGTGTCATGGTGTGGGGCGGTATTTGTGGAGATCGGAAGACTGATTTGGTGATTATACAGGGAAACCTGAACACTGTGCAGTACAGAGACCAAGTGTTGCAGCCAGTTGTGCTTTCGTTCTTACAAAACCAACAGCAGGAGACATTGTTTCAACACGACAATGCCAGGCCCCATACTGCAAGACTGATTCGGAACTCTCTAAACCAGCAGAACGTTGACGTTTTGCCCTGGTCTGTCCACTCACCCGATATGAATCCTATTGAACTTCTGTGGGACCATCTTGACCGACAGATTAGAGCACGCCATCAGCCCCCGTCAACAGACAAGAATTGCAGCAGGCCCTGAGAGACGAGTGGCAACGGATTCCAGTCCACGTCATCAGAAGACTGACGTCATCGATGAGGCGTCATATCACAGCATGCATTGAGGCAGCTGGACGTCATACACGCTATTGAAGGCAACTGTGTCGACAATGAACTTGTAGGGTGTCTGACAATTTTTTGGTGACATTTCAGACAACTTTTGAAAATGAAATTTCTTACCCCTCCTTTGTTAACCTTGAGCTTACATTACCTGTGATTACACAATTTCATTCAAACTGTGGTTGATCAATCATTTGTTACCCCTCCCTAGATTATATTATAATTCACAACAAAACATCTTCTTGTTATTTTTTATCGATCATGGAACTCGACCTATACTTTCTTTTGCCGCCCAGTTTAGTTCAGCACAATAAAGCAGTATTCCAACAGCATATAAATAAAAGCGACAAAAAACATTTCCATATTCATAAAAAAATACCGCTATGGATTATCGAAACCCGATATGGCCAACTCAGCATGAGCCATCGACAAATGTGACCTTCTACACGTACGAACATCGATTTATAAGTTGTAAAAATATGAAACATATATGTGCAAAAAACTCAAATCATAATCAATAAATAATGCTGAAGAAATAAACACAACACACCCAGCTACACTGTAGTACGGATCATATTGAGCATATCTGTGTAGTGAATACTGAAAACAATATTATTTCAGTTGTGGTCTAATCAGAGATATCGGCAATCCATAGTTGGTCCCTCAATCTTACATATTCACGCTTTTGAATGTATCAGCAACTCAATAGAAGTCGATATAGGACAACCCAGCGTTCCGGTAAGACAACTCTCGGCCTTCACAGCTTATGACAGACGATTTCAACTATATATCAGGGTGTATGTTTGACGTCTCACGTCAGACGCTTACTCATGTTGAATCTGTGTACCCTAAAGATACAGAAGCGGTTCAGCGTACCACTGCGGATACCGAAAGCGGTTTTACTTTGTAACTGTGGATAACTGAAGCGGTTCTTATCACAACTGTTGGTAAAACAAGGGATTCATAGAAGCATCCTTCAGATCAGAAAACGATCGTTACGAGTGGCTCCTCAGATTGCACATTAGTTTGTCTGGTTTTCTAATTGTAGTCTTTTATACAGTTATATAATACAAGACCAAATTTCAACGTCCATTGCAAGACAATTATCTTTGGAAACACTTATCCACTGCTTGGTACCCGGTACATCTGAAGTGGCACGGAACCACTGCAAGGAACCCAGTTTATTTGAAGCACACCTTAACCGGTGAACGGTACCAGTTATAGCTGGGATAACCACTTCAAGGTATCCGACACGGTTTAGGGAACACCCGAACCACTTCAAGGTATCCGACACGGCTTAGGGAACACCCGAACCACTTCAAGGTATCCGACACGGCTTAGGGAACACCCGAACCACTTCAAGGTATCCGACAAGGCTTAGGGAACACCCGAACCACTTCAAGGTATCCGACACGGCTTAGGGAACACCCGAACCACGTCAAGGTATCCGACACGGCTTAGGGAACACCCGAACCACTTCAAGGTATCCGACGAGGCTTAGGGAACACCCGAACCACTTCAAGGTATCCGACACGGCTTAGGGAACACCCGAACCACTTCAAGGTGTCCGACACGGCTTAGGGAACACCCGAACCACTTCAAGGTATCCGACACGGCTTAGGGAACACCCGAACCACTTCAAGGTATCCGACACGGCTTAGGGAACACCCGAACCACTTCAAGGTATCCGACACGGCTTAGGGAACACCCGAACCACTTCAAGGTGTCCGACACGGCTTAGGGAACACCCGAACCACATCAAGGTATCCGACACGGCTTAGGGAACACCCGAACCACTTCAAGGTATCCGACACGGCTTAGAAAACACCCGAAACACGCCAAGGTGCCCGGCACGGCTTAGGGAACGGCCGAACCACTTCAAGGTATCCGACACGGCTTAGGGAACACCCGAACCACTTCAAGGTATCCGACACGGCTTAGGGAACACCCGAACCACTTCAAGGTATCCGACACGGCTTAGGGAACACCCGAACCACTTCAAGGTATCCGACACGGCTTAGGGAACACCCGAACCACTTCAAGGTATCCGACACGGCTTAGGGAACACCCGAACCACTTCAAGGTGTCCGACACGGCTTAGGGAACACCCGAACCACATCAAGGTATCCGACACGGCTTAGGGAACACCCGAACCACTTCAAGGTATCCGACACGGCTTAGAAAACACCCGAAACACGCCAAGGTGCCCGGCACGGCTTAGGGAACGGCCGAACCACTTCAAGGTATCCGACACGGCTTAGGGAACACCCGAACCACTTCAAGGTATCCGACACGGCTTAGGGAACACCCGAACCACTTCAAGGTATCCGACACGGCTTAGGGAACACCCGAACCACTTCAAGGTATCCGACACGGCTTAGGGAACACCCGAAACACGCCAAGGTGCCCGGCACCACTGAAGCAACACTTGAACCGTGCAGGTATCCAGGATAGATTACGAAAACATCCGATTCAACCTAAGGTATCCGACGCGACTGAAGCAAAACCCTAACCACTTCATTGTACCCAGTACAGTTCAGGGACCACTTGAACCACTGCTGGGTACCCAGTACAGATTAGGGAACCACTGCAAGGTGCCCGGTACAATTGAAGCAACACCTGACCATCGGAGCACTCAAGAGACCAGGAGGAGCAAACCACGGGTTAGAAAACCGTCCAGGAGGTCACTGGGTCAGCTAGAGTGTCCTGTGTTCCATTGTGGCCAGCTGAAGTTGCTTCTGTTTCACAACAAAGAATATTGCAAAACGCGACATGGCTACACATGGCTTGCTGGTGGTACTGTACCATGCCTTTCAAATAATGCAGACAAGTAAGTGTATATCTTTCTGGGTGTATTGATTGTCATTATACATTTACACTTAAATATTATGCAAGTATAAATGAAGTTGTAGAGAACTACCCAAGAAAAAGAATCGGAACGGTTATATTAGGCTTATCAAATATATGTAAAACTGCAACATAGATCGGAAGATTGTATAAGTTGAATACAATTTAGTGAAACAAACGAAAGTTTTAAGGCCGAAATGTCTTAAGGTCGAAAGGTTATAAAGGTTTTAAGGATGTAAATGTCCAATTGTAACAAAATGAAGAAGGTTACACGGGCAAATTATTTATATATCAAAACCCATTCCATATTCACTAGAAATCTCTGTTAAAAGCAGACTCGAGTCAAACATCTTTTGAGCAGGGGGCACAGATGGCCGAGTCGTCAAAGGCGCCGCTGTGCAGAGTTGCGTCCCTTGGGCACGCCATAAACCAATGATTGTGGGTTCGAATCCCGGTTCGCCCCGATTATGTTTCTTGGTCTGTCAGCACCATACCAGTGCTAATGGGTTTCACCGTTGGTAAAGTGGTGCACCTCTGAAACCTGCATCAATTCGGGCTTTCCTCACACATTAATCTGACACGCCGTGATATAAATGGAATAATGTTATAAACGGTGTTAAACCCAACTCACTCACTCACTCTTTTTAGCAAGAGCCGTATGATGCTCGTTGAAATATTAACTACCAGATTATATAGGTCGAAAGTTAAAAAGGACCGGAAGGTTATATAAGTTGAATTGTTATTAAAGTGGGGTCAGATGGGGTTTTATGTCGCGTTTGATCTTATCTCTTTTATATATCGTCGTTTATGCACGTGTGTGGCTTTGCTATACCGGACTTATGTCGGTTTTATTGTGCTACCCCGCTGAGAGACCATGCCGCGGTTTAACATGGGTACCTGACTCAGACACACAATGCTGACTCCGAGCCGACGAGTCTGTGTTTTATCGCCTTACTGTCGAGCGTCTGGCAAAAACAAGTGCTATCTTTTAACGCAGCCAGTGGATCGAAACACCGACCTTCCGCCCTTGAATAGTTAGTAATGCCTAATAATAGTAAAGGCCGAAGTGTTTTACTTCCAAATAGTTTGCGAAGCCTGAAAAGCTATAAGGACGAATGGTTACGAAGCCTGAATGGTCACGAATGCTGAAAGGTTATTGAGGTCTAAGAAGTTCTAAGGCAGAATAGTTATAAATGCAGAATTGTTATAAAGCCTGAAAGGTTATAAAGACTGCAAGGTTATAAAGGCCAAACGGTTATGATAATATACTACTCAAAAGACGTTAAGGAACACCCATGATATGATAGATAAACTACAGTAATGTCAAAAAATCGTTTACTTCCCTAGAGTAGTTTTATATGTCTTGAGATTAGTGTTAGAGCTGTTGTCCTTTGTTTACATTGGATTTATTATTCGATCTAACTGTTGTGATTTTGTGGCCTAGGTGATGGTAAATACACGTTGACGGGTCAATCACAGACTGATACCAGAGGTCAATCGGGTCTAAGTACAGATGTTTGAATAGTTTGGCGTTCATGTGCTAGCTCTTAAATAATGACTGCTTCCTTCGTGACTTCCTGTAAACATGCTAGCTGCAGTCAATCCGTCCATTCCGGTTCCTACATATATACATGGTAAAACATCAATAATCGTAATTAAAGATAATATTCCGTTTATTGTGTTCATAGGCGTAACGTCTACATGGTTTTCATATTACACGCGTTCATGAAAATTGCATTGTTTCTTGGGAAAATATGGCTTGCTCAAAAGATGTGTGATCAGGATTACAACATTCAAGGCCTCGAAACGTTGTATGATAGACATCTCGAGGACATTCCATATTTGACATTCCATCAGTGACAAAAATAATGTCCTATTCAATTCCCACCAGTTTTTTTTGCAAACTATCAGGAGATTTGTTTGATACCATATTGTTGCGTTCGTTCAATAAAACCCTTGACACAGGTACTTTACACGATGCATGGAATATTGAAATTGCAATGCCTGTGTATGAATAAGGAAACGTTAGTCAACCTCACAATTACAAAGGTATATCTGTTTTGAATGTCATATAACTCCTTGTTTTAATAATGGTGGAGGTGTTCGCCAAGGTTGCATTTTAAGGCCCGATTTTTTGATAAACAAACTTGTCACTGATATTTGCAAAGAATGTCTCGTTGGTGTGCTTATGCTATTGCTGTTCTCGGATGACGTTGCTCTGGTGTCCTTGCAGAAACAGCTTATTGTATTGCATTCCTTTTGTATTAAGTAGGGTTTAGAAGTAAACCTTGAGAAAAACCAATATTATTGTTTTACGAAATGGTAGAATTGTAACGAAGCATGAAAATTGGATATATTGGTATGAACATTTGAAAGTTGTAAGTTATTATCAGTATATAGGACTATTAATGTTCTCTACCTAAATTGGTCCATGGGCTTCTAAATTAGCACTTAGCGCTTCAGGTATCAAAGACATTGTATTTAGGATAAATTTGTTGTAAACTGATAGCCAAATGAATTTTTGCCATAGTATAAATCATAATTTACCATAAATAACTCCATTTTAATAACCACAAAAGATATACGCATGAAATGAAATGTATTGCAAGATCTAAATCTCACCGAAATCAAATTTAAATGACACTCATACAGCATCCGATATAGGCATAACAGTTGCCCGAAGTTATGTACGAGATCGAGCTGTATGGGGCCTGGCGTTGTCATGCCGATAAAGTATACCACGTGGCAGTTGTTGTAGAATTTGTCGGACAATCGGACGTAGAATATCATCCATGTAACGCTGAACTGTCTGAACGGCTGGAGTGACTCGTTAAACAACAAACAAACAAACGAGATCATTGTTTAATCAGGACTTGGTCACGGGCAAATCACGGACGGGGAGGTGTAGGAAATGTTGTTCCCATCCAAATGTCTCTTTCTCTGTTTTGCTGAAATGTCAGCTTAAAGTTCCCGTATACTTTGTTTTGGTATTATATGTTTATTGACCTCTAATTTCATGGAAGTAAAGTAATGAAAAAATCTGTAGCTGACATGTTGTGCTGAAGGTGATTCTTTATATAGTCATAACGTGGGAAAAAGACGAATGAATACGAGACCAAGTTATTTATTGATTGCGTATATGTTATTCAATATTGATTATCAATAACATTAAAAGTAGGCATTACTGTTTGCAGTTTACGCATATGTTAGTGATTTTATTATCCTCGTGGTGCTGTTATTCAGGACAATCGTCACGGTTGTGTGAGAACATCGATTACTTTCTTCACACACTCACGATGGTCTGTTCGACGGGTAATAGCGTTTGTTCATAAACTGTTCGGTGTTAAATTATGCATACAAAATACATTGGGGATATTTACCTTAATTTGCTTGTTAAGTACATGAACTATTTCTGTCAATGACCTTTACAGCGGTGTACTGCTGCAAAAATATACCTTGCCGTCAAGGATCTGCAATCTAAGCTCCTTACAGCGAAACGGCCTCTCGCAATGTATATTAAGCTTGACAAAATGACAGGACATAGGACAAAACATATTTCTTATGGTCGGAAATTCATTGGGACTATACCAACGAAATTAAAAGAAGGTACAGCCTATGCAACGATACATTATCCGATTTATGACAGTCTGAACCCCCTGGATGCCAGAGGGACATATATGTCCCTACACAAAACGCAGTTGCTGTGCCAGAGGGTCGTATATGTCCTTCTAAAACATCCTGTTAAAGAAATTGAAATAAAATTTATTTTTACTTCCCAAAGCCAATATGAAATGCAAAAATGCAACAAAAAGTACATTTCCAGCAATATTGTGTCATTTTTACAACTATACTTAAACATATAAATTATATAGCGTTAGTCAATTACCCTTGTTTACACTTACGCTCAAATGTGCCGCCATTGAAATATATTTTTCAGTTTGAGCATATTGCACCGACTGATTGAAAATGCACATGCGAAGGTATATTTAAAACCTTCAAAAATATATTGGTTTAGAGTTTTAAAAGGATCAAATCTCTACGCATCTATGTAGTAAAAAGGTTATTAAACCTACTAAATGTCCAGTTTACCGATGGTGAAATGAGTGTATTTTGTCTTCACTGTATTTGTACTAGACATCGTTCTTCACATCACGTCACAAAGCTTAATATAAAACAACCAAGCAGCATTACATACTTCCTGACATCTGTAGAAAATAGAAAATAGAGTCTTTGTTATGCTTCTTAAACCTCACATTCTGCGAAAACACAGAAAATGTGCTGCAACATCTTTTAGGCAGCTTTACACAAAATGGCGACCGAAGTTGAAGGTCGCTTAGCGGTACTTTCCATGAGAGAAAAAGGCTGAACGCATGGTCCTAAAAAAAAAGAAGCTAACCCACACCTTTTGGGTCTGTGTTGTTATACATGTGTTGGTGGTCAGGCTTGCTGACTTGGTTGATACATGTCATCGAGACCAATTGCGTGGATCGATGCTCCTGATACCAACAACAAAACTCTATATTTACAATTAAGATGTACCACTTACTATTTAATCATTGAAGTAATTCATATAAATTATGTGTACATGTATATAAGGACATATTTGCATCTTTGTCTAATATATCTGATTCTTCTCATCAGTTTCGTGTCTGTCACTAATTGTGTCTTTTTCACAAAATAAGCATAATTGTTAACACAATCGAAGTACGAATACTGTGACTAATTGATTAGAAACCTTAAATGCCTTTCAAAGATTTGATTAAAAATTGTCTTCAAGTGTTGGAAGTAGTTGTTTATTAAACAAAACTTAAGACTGAAAGTAATTTGGTTCTCATTATGAAAACTGCGAAGTCAGTTTCAAATTGATGGACTGCGCATGTGTGCAATATAGAACTTATCTATCACAAAGAACATTTAGATGCAAATTTCAAAAATATTTATACATAGTGCCTTAATTAATTATATACAACAAAAAGCATGTATTCTATGAGGAAAACATTTTCTAATTATGTTTTATACATTAAAAAATATAATTTATTGTTATCACCAATCACAGTGTTTCAGACATTATGACGCGCTGTCATTGTGAATGACTTACAGAAGTAGTTCTTCACAGACTTTTTTTCATCGCAAGCTCCAACGTTCATACACTTTGGCCCTCACTCTATGAAGGTTCATACTCCAATGAACTCACACAAAGTGAAAGTCAATTCTTAATTATACATTCACTATTTCATCTTCAACATCGTTATTTAAAATCACAAATCAATCCAACTGATTGAATTATAAGCCAGCTGTTAAGTTCTGTCAAAGTTTTAATTATTGGTGCCTGTCGTTTTCATATCGCTTGATAGCTACGCCGTGGCATGATGTAAGCAGTGACGGTGAGTGAGTGAGTGAGTGAGGGAAAACACGACCAGATCGCGACGTAAGAATGATGGGAATCGTTGCGTTTATCATCCACAATTTTACGACAGATAACAGATCATCACTATGATGGTCGAGGGGGACATCGCCTTCAAGCCCTCAATTACGGCCGCGAGAAAGCGATAACACGAAACGAGAAAGCGATATACGTATCGCATTCTCGTCTCGGGTTTCGTTTCTCGTCTCGAGGTATCGCTCTCTCGTCTCGTAGTATCGCTTTCGCGTCTCGTGGATTGATTTCGCGTCTTGTGTTATTGCTTTAACGCTTTCTCGCGACCGTACTTGAAGGCGAGAAAGCGATGTCCCATCTCGACCACCATACCACAAGCACATTCAACCTACAAGGTAATAAAATGGTGTCCATGAACTTACTATATTTTTCGCTGTCAAACACGAAGAAATCCGGAGACATAGTAAATCCAAAATCCCAAACACCGCAAAACACGGTCGAAGACATTTTGAAAACATACAAAGCTGTCGACAACGCGAGAGGCCTTTTCGAATTATTTCTGTTTGACAAATACAATTTTGTGTTCTTTATTTGTATACTCCTTAATAGTTACAAACTAAAATAAAACAACATTATTCAGGATATATATATATATTTCGATGCGAAACTAACTCTTTCATTCACCCGTATGCAAATTACGTCGACGTGCAAATGGAAATGTCCGCCATCGTACGGTAAGAGTATGATGGAGTGAACCGATTTACATGAGCCGCGAGGAATACATTGAGATGAGAGACGAAAAAAACTACTATGTATACGGGGATATACGTTTCAGATTATCTAAGATTTGTTCCTTGAAATGTAAATAATCACCGATAAAATTCAACATTAATTGAAAAAAGAAAACACATCAAAGCGTAGAAATTTTATTTTGAAATGTTTCGTTTTCTTGTCTTATTAAAGAATGTAACCCCTTACTTCATTGTTAACGTTACACGTCCAATTGATTTAAGCATGTTGAAAATAGACCACATATTTCAGGGATATGATTTTATTTATGTATTTTAAAATTATTCATTAATATTCTTTTCCCGATATGATATTCAACAATAACGTTGTAGTTTTAACTAATGTATGAGAAAAAAGGTGGTCACGCAAACTTGAGCAAAGTCTTTGTCGACAATTTGGTGGCAACTTTAAAGGGAGAGGTGTCATTTTCCCCATGGAAATCGTGAAACAAACAAGGTTTTGTATGATGTTTTTGGTTTTGACTTGAATGGAGGTTTACTAAGGACCCAATGCGCATTGTGAACAAAATAGTCGCCGAGGACATATTGGACAAATTCGCATATTTTTTACGTTTACCGAGCTGTTAGATACTCATAATCAACACGATGCTTTATAATATTTACATAGTCAGTTAAGGGTGTTATTGAAGTTTAATAGTGTGAAATGTGGAAATTGTGGGTTTTGCCGTTATTACGTTACGTGGTTTCTAGACGAAGGTTTGAAGTGTTCACATCGTCACTCTAATACACGATTTAACACAGGCTATTTTATGTGGCAGACTAATGGTTAACGCTAATACCGATTTGTGAAACTGGGCCCATGGCCTCCCCCTTCCATACTTTGAACATCAGTCTTAGCTGATGTCTTAGCGCTAAGATTGATTTGTGGAAGGGGCCCGATTTTAAAGTTAATATTCATGCATTGATTGATATGCTTTGTTTGAGAACAATTCAGCTGGTTTATGCAGGAAGGACGTGTAGAATCGAAACTACATGTCACATTGAACTAATAAACTAAATAGTGATAAAATGAAATCAGTGATGAAACCGGGTGTTCACGCGTGTGGGCAAGCGTGTTCTAGCTACCGGAAGCATCCGCGAGTCACACAATGTGCATTAAAACAGTAATTTAAGCACACACTATGTTTGGAATAATGTGTAATTGAGACTGTAGTAAACTCGATCGTGTTTGCGAAACATGTCCGAAGGGAAGTAACTGCGTAGTTATGTAAAAACTGCATACCGCTAATAGAAATAGGGTGGGGTCCGATTTAATTATTTTTTTATATATTGTACCTTATAAATTAAATCTAAAACACACTGGAAATTATAACAAATGATTGCAGAAGAGAATAAACCTATTTACAACCGCGTATTCGGCTGTATTGATAGTTTTAAGAATAACTGTTGACTTCATCATTGAAACTCAACTTCGAAGAAAATTCTAAAAATAGCAGCTTATGAAATACGCACGTAACCTTTATCCTAGTTTGTGATGTACGCTGATTTTCCCGCTTTCTGCGTTAATCAAGGAGTTTGGAGATGGGATTTTGAACAGACCCTCCGAGGTGTGGTAAACTAGCTTTGAGAATAAGTGCAGGAAGAGTTACCTCCTCTTGCCATGAGCATTGCTGAGAGATCGACAAGTCGGGATGATGGATGCTGCCATTGTGTGACCGTGGCTAATAGTTACAGTTTTGCCACATTTTGTTGATTGGTGTGATACCTAGAAGATGAAAAGGATATCACTATGTACTGACTTCATCATTTTTCAGGTGGCCTGGCGATCCGAGAGTTTCCCGGAACTCTCGCGTATAGTGACGCTGACACCTTCTGTCGGTCTCAGGGCATGAGACTTCCGGTTTTGACGTCACCATATTCTCAGAGCCTCGCTTTGGGAGCCCTTGGACCATCGTGAGTATTGACGGGATTTATTATTTCTTTTCAGTTGACAAGTTTTGACGATTATCTACCGACATGTTTTTATGTATTATAACTAGTGAGATTGTTCTTCTGTCATTTAAACAAATGAGTATTTCCAATGCATCCATTTTCAAACTTAAAACATTCATTGACGTTTGAGAAATGTAGCACTTAGTCACGTGAATGGCCCCTCTAACACTTTGGTCTCGCTTGAAATAGGGGCGGTCGGGTAGCCTAGTGGTTATTTTAAAGCGTTCGCTCGTCTAGCGGAAGACCCGGGTTCGATTCCCGACATGGGTACAATGTGTGAAGCCCATTTCTGGTGTCCCCCGCCGTGATATTGCTAAAAGCTCACCCACTCGCTTGAAATATTAAATTACGTAAGACATCTTCTCCGATTGTCCTGCAAGACATGTCCTAAGTTACAAAATAAGCATGTCAGGAAGGATTGATATTGTAACTTTAGTGTCTTACCCTTACTGACATCATACAAATGGGAAAGGAGACGTAGTATAATAATTATCATTCATGTTTACACGAGGTCCCTTTCTTACACTCGCATTTTTGGGACTTCTGACATGATTAAATACCAAGTATGTCTACAATGAGTGGCAAGAGACGATTTTTGAAACTTCAAATGAACGCGACGCGTGTTTTACCACGTGTTTGTTCAGTTTCACTCTCCTATGAAAATCAGCTTGGCTCAAAGACTTGCTTGTTTACAAATATTAGAAACGCGCATTCCACAAACATCAAACATCAGAGGGCGGTCGGGTAGCCTGGTCGTTAAAGCGTTCGCTCGTCACGCCGAAGACCCGGGTTCGATTCCCGACATGGGTACAATGTGTGAAGCCCATTTCTGGTGTCCCCCGCCGTGATATTGCTGGAATATTGCTAAAAGCGGCGTAAAATCAAACTCACTCACTCACTCACTCAAACATCAGACTTTTGAACATATTTTATCCTTACCTATGCATATGGTGTTGTCATAAGTGTTGAAATGAGCAAAGCCTCGCACTGTTTCATAACAGTTTGTCCTTTCAAAGCTGCTTAAATGATTTTCAAATTCTTATAAAGTTTTCGAACATGTTTCTGTGACTGGCAATTATTTGATCAGTATTGAAGCACGTTATAATATGGACAAATGTATATTGCTAAAACTATGTCAAAGTCAATAGTCAAAATAGTGTATTTGTTGTAATACAAGAAATGCAATTGAAATGATAAAATGTGAAATAAAAGCGACAAAACCCTTTCCATAGCTACAACAAATCCCTGCTAAAAGCTGAGTCGATTGTACGATTCCGATCGTATTTATGATATGAGTATGTGTATATGAATCACGATTCCCCACATGAGTACAATGTGTGAAGCCAATTTCTGGTGTCCCCCGCCGTGAAATTGCTGGAACATTGCTAAAAGCGGCGTAAAACCATATTCATTCACTCACTAATACATCACATATCGGATGCTATTGTTGAATGTTGACAACCGGTTTTAACGATAATCATCTACAAACGACGTTTATAATACCCTAGTAAAAGTTATATTGTCCGAAACAGACTGTTTTAAACATACAAATCCCAAACCATGTAAAAATAAAATGATACCAACAGATGTTACCCACGTATTATGCCCAATGCTGTCGAAATGAATCAAAATGTTATATATACTCTCTCAAAAAAGAAACGCATAACGAAAATGGTAATTTGATGTAGCAAGAGTATATTGTTGGGAGGATACGTACTTCGTGCATTCTGGTTAATTTTAACAAATATTTTATAACACGGATCTACGTATTGACAAATAGTGGGTAGTGACATCATTCACATTCGTTTTCCCACCTTTAATAATATACTGAACCGCAAAAAGAAACGTCACCCCACGTAACATTGCATAAAAGGTTGTCATTTAATTATCTGGGTAATGTTTGTCAAAGCTTCTAAAATTCAACATTACCTTGTCCGGATAAATGAAATTTGATGATAAAAAACAAAGCAGATGACAATAAAACCGATCGCCCAAACGCATCACGGCAACGGCCATGGTAACCCGTGGTAGCACGTGAGTTCCGTGAAAATTTAAATGCAAATGCGTTCCCCCATTTCTTGCCCTAAAAAATCCACCCAGATCGGATAATATTCATTCGTTGTCCACGTAAGGACCATAAACAGGCTCCAGCAACGGTACCAGACCACCAACACTACAGATGACCGACCACGTAGTGGAAGACCAAGGGTCACCACCCGACGTCAGGATCGTCAGATTGTGCGACAGCATCTTCAAGATCGCTTTGTTACTGCTGCGGAAACTGCTCGGCAGACCATGGGGACACACTAATAGGCAATAGGGCTGTTAACCTTCTAGCGCCTCACAGGCAACTTGGGCTGTATACTCCCCAGGGAGCTGAGAATGATTCTTAGGTGCACACTGATCCATTGACTGGGGTTATTATTACGTGGGCTTTGAACAACCACATAAATGCACTTATAATCATTATATACACATTAAAATATAAAATGCAGCAAAGAGGGTTTGGGTGATCCTAGCACAGTCAGGTTAGGCTCATCAGTCGCTCAGGCCCCTTGTCCCCTCTATACGCAGCCCAGACAGAGAATTGGACTTCACCTAGGAAGCGCTGCCTAGTCGAACCCACCCAGAACTTTTCATCATTGGTTACCATGACGTCACAATACAATGACATCACTAATGGCTCTGCCACTGAAGATGTTAGCAGTACTTTTTACACTTAAGACACTGCTTATTGCTGTGTACAAACTGAAAAAGTTGGAAGAATGATGTTGGGTGATGAATAAAATCATTCCATTGATATCAAATATATCAACACTCGTTGATAAACTGGTGTGGATATATTTGATATCAAAAGACACGAGGGTGAGATTCTCTATATAATCTACAGTTAGAAAACCTCAAATCTCCTAAGTGGTGCCTTAAGTGGCCAATACTTCATCACCCCTTAATATATGCGGGCAGTTTGCAGGGTAGTCGTTATATTTAACCAACGAATCAACCACGGCCTGGTTTCAGTGAGATGGATTGCAGCGAGTGATCTGACCAATGAAGCCTCAGTCACACAGACAATGCGACCGACCGCGATGAAACCTCTTGGCGACCAAAAATATTTCACAATCGCAATGAGGTTTCAGGGGTCTCTGAAAGGTTTCACTGAGGTCGCTACAAGGTTTCAGAGTGGTCGAAAAAACTCATTCGGTCGCAACCAGTCTTTTGAACATGCATAGAAGACTGGCTGCGAACGATTTGGTCGCTCGGAGGTTTCATTGGTCTCCTAGAGGTCCCCTGGAGGTCCCCAAGTGCTGTTATTTTAATCGCAGATTGGTTTCAACTGTGCGGCGAACGGTTTCGTCTACGCAAGGGTGTTGACTCTTTGCAACCTAGAGGCGACCTATCGGTTATTGATCAGTGATGAGGCGGTGATCGACCGGCGCTTCATCGGTGACTGGTTGGCGATCGGTTGTAAAGTGGTTTCCATGCGTGCGTCGATCATTCGCCGTTGGGTTTGGAACATGTCACCGTCTATAAAATGACCTGTCTGCGTATTACAGTATCATTTTGTCTTAAGTACTCAGAGAGTTCACATCAAATATTTCCATTCAACACTATAGTCCGTAAAGGCAGAAAAATAAAAGAACCAGAAATGTAGAAGATACAATGGAGACAACTGCTGTGGTGCTCATTTCTGCTACATCTGCGCCAGAGCCAACAACATCTCAACAAAAGAAGAGGCGGATACCTGATGAGGAGGAGGAGACAGAGATGTCCGATGTTTACAGGCTCCATTCTGAGGTAGCCCACGAAATCACCTGGACTTTCTATCTCCAACTCTGCCATCACATTCTCACAGTCTCCTAGCTGTGGCCTTCTTGCGATCCAAGGTCTCAGCCAATACTGCCTCCGCCTTGTCCTTATCCTGCTGTACATCATCATGGCAGCAACTGCAGCATTTTTATTTATTCTTTGCAGGCGGAGCAACTGCAACTGTTCTGATGTTGACATCTTGATAACTTGCAAAGAAATCATTTGATTCAGAAAAACAACAACTTTGTCTATGCATTGTATTTTGATCGGTAATCGATTGACAACTAGACACCAACCTGTCCCCGTTCAGTTGCAACAAGTCACCGAAAATTCGCTGACTAGTCACCGATCGGTGTCAACCAGTTGCAAACATTTCGCCGTTTCTGCGGTGAACAGTTGCCGATCGTTCACTGACAAGTTGCAAAACCTATCGCTGATTGATCGGCGGTCATACCCTGATCGCCAGTCGGTCGCAAATGAAATCAGTCGCCAAAAGGTTGCATCGCGGTCGCATTGTCTATGTGACTGTAGCTTAACCCAGATCTTCATGGATGGCATACAATGCACACAGTAGGGCTAATTTGACTTTCATGAATTTCCATGACATTCACAGCCTAATGTCATACCTTGACTTTAAATAGACACAGCATTTCAGGTGATTCGCGGTTGATGTATAAACATCGATCACGTTAGTTATTGACGATAACATCAACAAAAAGAAATCAGAAAATAATTATTATTATTAAATACAACTAACTTTCCTCAAGAGAATATTTAGTCTTCGTGCAACAATCAGCGACGTTATTAATGTACTTTGGTAATACAAAACTGAAAACGATTAAATATTAGATCCAAATCGTTGAGCGATCAATTATCGGTATATTTCGGCTTCAGCGCGTAACCTAAGAACTCTTGAACGGAACAATTGTTTCTTCAGGGTGCATAGCTTATTTCGCCATCGGATGAATCGATTGCCAATGAAAGCATTAGGGTTTTGCGTCAAACCAATGTCAGCGCGACCAAACCGGAAGCTACTATCACAGAAATGCAGTATTGATTTTGGAGATTTCGTGAATTAAAAATCATTGAATGTGTACTCTTGTTGTGAAGGCAGTTTTCTTCACAATGATACGATGTGGCGATTTCTCTTTTAGAAATGTTGTCATACTTTCTGTTAAATGATAGAGAGCTGACAAGTAGGCGATGAACATACAACATGTGAAAATAGGTAATTTTACCAACTGAATGCTTCTTTACATCATATCAGTTATTACATCATCCAGACGTTTTTGACGTAAAAAGTAATCATCATACGCCCGAAATCTGCGTTTTTTAAGATATGTTACATAATACCAAAGACATACATCGATATAAAGGCGTCTTTGATAATACTTATAAAAAATTGTATTCATACACACTGAAAGGTCATCGCATCCACCCTGACTCTGCCAATAATTTTACAGTGGGATTGTACAGCCACAAACTAGATGCCCTCGGCATAGTTATGAATCAAACATTTCTTAAAGCCAATTCCCCTTCAACCATTAGCCATCGAGTGTTCAATCTAAACAAGCAGCATTATTTCAAGCACCGTCTTCTATTCCCAGGCCGGAAAGCGAATACTGGATCGGACTCGACTACATAACGGGCGACTTCCGGTGGGCAGATAATTCTCCCCTGTGTTGGAAGAACTGGTTTGTTAGTTCTGCTAACGAACCCAATAACCTCAACTCTGAGCTGTGTGTTGCCATGCGAGGAGGCGGGTCCGTGCCGGGGTCGTGGCTCACTAAAAGCTGTAGTAGAACCTTCGGTGTGATATGTGAAGTAGGTGAGTTATGGGTAACGTTAGACCTCTGGTCAAATTCAGCTGAGCATGAGTATTTAGTTCAAACATTTCTTTTTCTCAAAGATTCTACATCAGTGAATAAATATGATTAGATAAGATTGAGCTGTCGTCATGGAATCAGATTAAATCAACATATTGTGTTCGAATATGTAGTAAGTTTATATGGTAATTTATAATATATAATTATGTATTATGTATAAATATGACCCGTGAAGATCCGGCATAGAATAGGTCTTCAGCAACCCATGCTTGCCTTAAAAGACGACTATGGTTGTCGAAAGAGGCGACTAACGGGATCGGGTGGTCATACTCGCTGACTTGGTTGATGAATGTCATCGTATCCCAATTGCTTAGATCGATGCTCATGATGTTAATCACTGGATTGTCTTGTTCAGACCCGATTATTTACAGACCGCCGATATATAGCTGGAATACTGATGAGTGCGGTGTTAAACTAACTGTCAACGCGCATGTTGACGGGGAATTAGCTCTTGGGAGAATAAAGGACAACATCGACATCACTGCCCCGGAACGTTTTATGCACAACATGTAAACAATAAATGACAAATACACAATGAGCGTAATACCTGCTCTGACAACACAAACACAGCGATGAGCGGACCTTCCAGCTCAGGCATACATGAGGTGAGCGGAGCTCCAGCTCAACTTCAGGACGTTTTCTACGAGCGGCACATCCTGCTCGATGTCGTCCTTACACCAACGCTCGGCATACCAAGCTTGAGTAACACCGTGTGATGGTAACACATATATAGTAATGAACAACAATGGACAGACAATGACGTTGCTCTAGACATGGGACTTCTGGGGGTGATGAACCGACACAGATCAGGGAATGAACAGTTAAGGCAATAAATGACATACTATAAATAACAGTAATTAAGGGGAAGTGATATGGTAGCCCAGGTTGGCTGACAGTCAATATACAATGAAATGGTGGTGAGGATTAACAACGGGGATTAGCGCCTAATACATAATGACAATTAAGTTATGGAGACATACACATGCCATGGCTACAGGGTAATTAGCCTTTTAAATCAAATGTTCTTCAGACAAAGGTTGTCGTAAATCAGTCGCTATGACACAACAAACAAAACAAAAAACATTTTTATTGATGTTTTTATTCTACATATTTTAAGAAGACAAACGTGCAATTAATATTCATTATATTAATATACAGTCAGGAAACATAGATATAATTAGAAATGGAAAAATATGTCATCATGAATCAAAAATGTAAAATCTTATAAAAGCAAGTCATGGACATGCGAATCAAGAAAAGTGTCTTGGAGAAATAAATTTTCGTCCACAACTGCCAACACTGCGAAGGGGGCGGTCGGGTAGCCTAGTGGTTAAAGCGTTCGCTCGTCACGCTGAAGACCCGGGTTCGAATCCCGACATGGATACAATGTGTGAAGCCCATTTCTGGTGTCCCCCGCCGTGATATTGCTGGAATATTGCTAAAAGCGGCGTAAAACCAAACTCACTCACTCACTCAACACTGCGAGGAGTTTCGTCGGGATTGGACTCAGATTCTTATTCACAGACATGTGAGTAGCACATCAGGTAGACCGTTCGCTAGTTGTTGCTAAAGACCCGGGTTCGATTCTGACAGGGTAACCACGTGTGATGTTCTTTCCCGGCGTCCATCGTTATGTAACCGGAATACCATCATCCGCTCACTCTTACATACGCTTCTCCCGACATTCGAGATTCCGGGATGTGTTTCTCAAGATGAAGTAAGATTTCCAGTGTACCGTGTATATTATTGATGGTGTTGTTTTGTTGCAGCGCCCGCAGCCAGGGATAACCTTTACAATAAAATGGAAGACGTCACGCCTACCGGAACAGCTCTTACGTCATTTCCGGTCACTACGGAAACAGCATGTGTCTGGCTCTGTGAGATTACCCGCGACTGCTTGATGGCAGTGTATGATGGAACGTCAGGAAATTGTTCTGTATATAACTGTCAGAGTCAGGTGACCAGTTTTCTTGGACGACGCACGTGGATGGGGCAGTAGTGGCTTCGAATAAGACTGGGCAGTAGTCCCTATATATTCCCTTTTTGTTTTGTATTAGTAATTAAAATAATGAAGTGAAACCGCAGCTACTACTCAAATATTATTCATGTCATTGATTTCTCTGACACTAATGTTATTGACAAGATTCAGGAAAAACATGGCAAATATGCAGACCTCGTTTACGAAATGTCACACTTGAATAACGAGTACCAAGTTGTCCGATTCCCAATTGTTCTCGGTGCCTCAGGTATTGTACCTCAAAATCTGTTCACGGACATTAGGAGAGTTCCCGGGTTTGCTGCCATGAAAACAACCCTTATGAGACTCTGGGTAATGCAGAAGGCTGCAGTGTTGGGAAGTCTTCATATTCTCCCAAATGTTTCCGTTGGATTCGACAAGGCAGCGCTTCCTGGAGAAGTCCCATTCGCTACCCACCCAACGCGCTAGGGAACAGTTTAGGAGCATCTGAAAATTAAAAATATCACGAAATTCGATCTATTAATATCTAAATTCACCATTATTTTAAGATTTAATTTGTCTTATTGACATCACTAAATCGAATTTGTGACATCTTAAAATACTTCTGAAAATGAGATATTAGACATTCTATTTTATATTCTTAACATGTATTCATCGAATCTAAAAAAATCGAATTTGGGATATTAATCTAAATATTATTTGATCAATAATCTTTTAGTCATATCATAAAAATCGAATTTGTGATGTTAATAAATAAATTGTTGATATAGAGGATAGGATAATACATTGCCTTTCAAGGAACTGCCTCGTGTCCGTCCAGAGGTCTGTCCTTTGCAAGTCGCTGTGCAGAGAAGCCACCTTTAGTCGTGGCAAGATCCGCTGTTCGTAGGTTTGCAGCCCCGATTCGTTCTGATAAAGATTCTTACTCGATCAACATGATGCATGTGCCACTTGGGACATTCACACTTTAGACACGCATGCTGTGTTATTACAGAAATATTGTTCAAGCGGCGTTAAACCCAACTCACTCACTTGAGGACCCATGAAGATCCGGGTTAGAATAGGTCTTCAGCATCCCATGCTTGCCGTAAAAGGCGACTTTGCTTGTCGTAAGAGGCGACTTACGGGATCGGATGGTCAGGCTCGCTGACTTGGTTGATGCATGTCATCGTATCCCAATTGCGTAGATCGATGCTGATGATGTCAATCACTGGATTGTCTGGTCCAGACTTGATTATTTACAGACCGCCATCATAGAGCTTTAAAACAAGCTGTGTGGCGTTAAACAACAAACAAACAAACAAACAAACACTTTTTGTTTATTGTGTACTTCAGTTAGCCGCAACTCTGTGTGTGCATATAAATATACAGTGAAACTTAACTAGAACCCAACGTATCATTTTAAGACGAAGTTGTTTTGTGGTATCAACACAATTTTTACAAGCGTTATCTTTTATCGACAGACTCGATTATGTACAGATCGCCGTCATGTACACTGTACTGGTATTATCAGCTCTACTGACCTTATAAGAAAGAAAGACACCCTCTGAAATCCTCATGACAATTATAAATAGTTTTCTTAATTTCATTAATTATGCAGATGTATGTCATCCCACAAATTGCATCCTTACCTTGTCAGCTTGCTGACTGAGTTAGCCTCTTTTGACAAGGCGTTCGACCTCGGATCAGAGTGTTCTTGGTTCGAATCCCCTCACGGAACTGTTTTGGCCTCTTCACATATCTTATGGGTGTCAGCCATGATCATACTTCGTTGCTTTCCTTTGATGTGTGTCCATTACACAGAACGAGTTAACCAGTACAAACGTACCAGACGTATGTCCTGTATGTGTGGTATGAATGTAGGCATATATCTTCTTTTTTTACTCAAGAGGTCTGTTCTTAGTCTATAATCTGCATTCTCCTCATACAGTCATCTGAGGCACCGCAGTTCGCTGCGCAGAGGTGAGTCCTTTTGGCACGCTATAAACCTACGATCGTGGGTTTGAATCGCGGTTCGACACCATACATGTTTAGGTTTGTCAGCATCATCGCCGTGTTCGTGGGTTTTACCAAAGCAGTAATCGTCTAAGACCTGCATAACTTCGGGCTTATCTCTCACATGAAGCTGACACGCTGGAATACTGTTCAAAACGACATTAAAACCCAAACTCATCAACTCATACTGTGGTCTCCACCTACTCGTTCTTTTGGAGAGCCAAATTGTCCCAGGCGCTGCATGCGATACTCACTCTCTATATTCTTTGTGTCGAATGCTCGAAGTTCCTCATTATATTTATATGTTTGTATGTTCCCAACCAGTCATTGTGTGTTTCACCAAGATGATACAATGACGACAATCTGCATCACATTACGGCAATCTCAAGGTGACAGGTTGGGATATAACTGAAAACAAGAGTCATCAGAAAGATGACATATCCCCCCGGCAGCTGTCTGTAAAGTAACCACTAGTAAATGTGCAATTCTGTATGTAATGAGGCAACAGTTGAATGTTCTTTAGGAAGCATACATTGTTTACCCACTGAATGGTTTTCGAATTCTGGCCCGGAAACGAACCCGTTCCCCAATGGAGTCTAGGTCCAACTTCTTTCCATAAAAATTGTAAAAAAATAAAAAAATACATTAAAAACATATATATCAAAAGGCACCACTTCAGTATGTGCCTGATAGATTTGCCATGTTTCGATCAAATACACTGAATGGTTTTCGAATTCTGCCCCGGAAACGAACCCCATCCCCAATTGAGTCTACTTCATTCCATAAAAATTTTAAAAAAACATAAAATTAGAAAAATTCCAAAATATCAAAATGCACCACTTCAGTATGTGCCTGATAGATTTGCCAGGTTTCGACAAATACACTAAATGGTTTTCGAATTCTGCCCCGGAAACGAACCCCATCCCCAATTGAGTCTATGTCCAACTTCATACCATAAAAATTTTAAAATATAAAATTAGAAAAATCCCAAAATATCAAAAGGCACCACTTCAGTATGTGCCTGATAGATTTGCCAAGTTTCAATCAAATACACTGAATGGTTTTCGAATTCTGCCCCGGAAACGAACCCCATCTCCAATTGAGTCTATGTCCAACTTCATTCCATAAAAATTTAAAAAAAACATAAAATTAGAAAAATCCCAAAATATCAAAATGCACCACTTCAGTATGTGCCTGATAGATTTGCCAGGTTTCGACAAATACACTAAATGGTTTTCGAATTCTGCCCCGGAAACGAACCCCATCCCCAATTGAGTCTATGTCCAACTTCATACCATAAAAATTTTAAAATATGAAATTAGAAAAATCCCAAAATATCAAAAGGCACCACTTCAGTATGTGCCTGATAGATTTGCCAAGTTTCGATCAAATACACTGAATGGTTTTCGATTTCTGCCCCGGAAACGAACCCCATCCCCAATTGAGTCTATGTCCAACTTCATTCCATAAAATTTAAAAAAATAAAAATTCGAAAAATCCCAAAATATCAAAAGGCACCACTTCAGTATGTGCCTGGTAGATTTGCAATGTTTCGATCAAATACACTGAATGGTTTTCGAATTCTGCCCCGGAAACGAACCCCATCCCCAATTGAGTCTATTTCCAACTTCATTCCATAAAATTTTTAAAAAAATAAAAATTCGAAAAATGCCAAAATATCAAAAGGCACCACTTCAGTATGTGCCTGATAGATTTGCCAGGTTTCGATCAAATACACTGAATGGTTTTCGAATTCTGCCCCGGAAACGAACCCCATCCCAAATTGAATCTATGTGCAACTTCATTCCATAAAAATTTTAAAATATAAAATTAGAAAAATTCCAAAATATCAAAAGGCACCACTTCAGTATGTTCCTGATAGATTTGCCAGGTTTCGATCAAATACACTCGCACTCACTCAATCAATCATTCACTGTTGGTCTCATTGAATTGTTGTCGTTGAGCAGCAAATATTCTTGATGTGTACTGATGCTATCATTGTCTTTACAAAGCAACATACGTTATACAACTTTAGTATTAGGTCATGGTTGTCGTCAGCTCACTCGGTCTTTCGGTTTCTACGATCTTGCAATTGCACACTCATTTTACATTTTTTTAAATGTAAACATATTGATTGATTAAACGATGTGTCTGGCGTTTCACATCCTTCAGATGTATTGGCTCATCAACATGTTCGAACATGAACGGCCAGATAAATGACCAACGGACAACGCGCCACGTCTTTAGCATTTACATGACAGGAGTACTGCTGTGTTGCGCTTGGCAATTAAGAAAACATGCTCTCTTTTTTAAATAGTGTGAGTGGCGTGCTTACCTTTTTGGCGAACACCTCATTGTCTTTACTGATTTTTAGCGATCCATTCATACAATTTTTAAACACTGTTTGGCCTTTTAGGCCTCATGGAATGCTTTTGGGCGGATAATCAATACTGATTATTCTGTGTCATGACCCTCTTTATTCACTAGGACCCTTGTTACTGTTTGTTTGTTTGTTTGACGCAGCACTCAGCAGTATTACAGCTATATGATGGCCGGCTGAGTCCAGTGATTGACATCACAAGCATCGATCCACACAATTGGGAAACCATGACATGCATCAACCAAGTCAGCGGGCCTGACCACCTGGTCCCGTTAGTCGCCTCTTATGACAAGCATAGTCGCCTTTTACAGCAAGCATCGGTTGCTGAAGACCCATCCTACCCCGGATCTTCATGTAGGTGAACCAAAGCCTCAAGGAGGAAGTCAATAATTGGCTCACCAAAGCCTTAAGAAGGAAGTCAATATGTGGCTACTACTAGGTTCTGGACAGTGGTACAGATACGTCCCTACAATGGTTGTACACGATGCAACCAACATGTTTGCCTTTTATTTTGTCGCTTTTATTTCAACTTTGATGACAACATTGAGAGGATACATAGATTTCAGGAGTTTCAATAGAACTGTACATTGTTTTCACAAAACATTTTTTTCCTCACATTGTTGATGTATAAGCTGAGGCGAAAACATTTTTACAGTATATTCTAGAACAAATTATTTCCTGTTGTTGGTCTGGTCACTTCGTAACGCTAGGTGTTTCTCCTGCAAAGGCATATAGACTCCACACAGAAATTTTCGGCCCTCTGTCGAGTAAACTTCTTGTGATAGTTTAAATGGATGAAGCGAGTGCAAATATTCATCATAAAAGTCAATATACTTTTGTCGATGTTTACCCCAGAGTATTGACCACTTAATCATATAGATGTCAGCATTGTGTGCAAGACCATGCGCTAGAGTTGGAAATGTCAGCTCCACATTTACTCTCTCCTTTCGGAAAATGGCTGCCAAATACCGGAACTGGTCGGCCATCTTGGACGGAATATACATCACGTCACATGACCTTTGATACACATGACTCATATCCCCAGAGTTGATAGTATACGTTTTCACGAATTTGCTCACGTGATTATTTCCCGGTTCGTTGTTGTGTATCCTGACCACCGTGTCCATAGCACGATTAACAGCCTTCTGACCGAATTTATGCTTCCACCAAACCCATCCACCTTGTACCTTCTCCGCATCCCGTCTGTCTAAATGCCCGTGAGATGTCATCCATATCCTGTCACGCGGTAGGTCCGCGATATTCCACGAGTTCAAGAGAGTGTCGTCCGCGATCTGTAGGTAACCTCTAACGTCAAGATTAAACTTGGAGGTCAAGGTCAGACACTCCCACATATGATACCAACCTTCTTTAATGCCATCTATATAGAGAATATTCGATGAGGCGATGGATTCGATGAGCTTGGCCTTGAATCGGTCCTGTCTTGGGCCGCAGTAGATGACGTAAGCAAAGTATCGTCTGTGAATTGCTTCTAGAAGAGGAAGATTGTGATAGAATTTGTCAGAGTTGAAAGTGATGATGAGAGCAATGTCTGTGATGACTGATGTTGGTGATGATGAATACTTGAGTTGCGGGCACAGAGAGGTCATCGTGGCAGATATGTTGGAGGTGTCAGACAGTCTTGTTGAAAGCAAAGGTGGTCTCATCAGCCCAGAGGTAGCGGTCAATGTCCTCGGACAATGTAATTCAAGATTCACCCTTTTCGGTTCTCTGTACCCAGTGGCTTCCAGATCCGACAGCCAGGCTTGGAGCAGGTCTTTGTCATCAGACGTCATCATATTCTGGTCCAGAAGGTACCAAGTCAGCTCTCTCACACATTGGAAGAATGTGCTGTCCATCTCGCAGTCCCATGGATCCATTACATCTTTCAACAGTGATTTCATAACTCGGGATGTGTTCCTTGTCTGATACAGGTGTTGGTGGTTGTCCCATTTTGGTATAAGTCCTACAGCTCCTCCAACCTCCCACAGCAGCCTCTGTGACAAAACCTGCCCCACCCCCAGGCTAGACGGCAGGAACAACATCCCCATGGACCAGAACCCTGCCACATGGTATATAGTGGGAACGTCATCTAAGTCTGTGTACACGTGGTCAGGGAGGAATACAGGTGGGAGTCTGTTGTATACCTGTTTAAGTGACTGCAGGTGTGTTGACGTTTGTGGATTTCCGGGTAAAACGGGTCTTACCTTCTGTTGAAACATGGGTCTCACATTATCGTGAGCACAATATCGAAATAGCTGTCGATTTGTGCTATTTGTTCTTGTATTTTGGAACAGAGCATGCCTATTTAAGTAACCCTTTCTGTCGGCATAGACAATGCCAGTCGTCAGACGATTCAGGAAGAAGCCACGTACATTTTCTTCCGTGTTGTGTGTGGCACAGCGGTCATAGATGACTGCAGCTCCCCAAGAGATAACAGTCAAGAATCCCAAGAGCCTCTTCCGGAGTTTATTGTTGCCAATTAGTTTGATGACGCCAAACGTTTCAGCTGTGGGATCACCGAGGCTTACTGTGTAACATGATGGTTTTCTGTGGAGGAACAAAATCTTGTAATGGTTAATACCATCTGTAGAGTGGGTGGGAGTGAGAGAATGTGTCAGTTGGTCTTACCGCCACTTTCAAAAGTATCTCATTTATGTCACTGGAAATTACTAACACAGGTATGGTACAGTTAAAACCACAGATTACAATCAAGGCAGATCTGTAATTCGAACACATGATATGCGGATCCTGGTGCGATAAAATCCTGGCAACATCTCACATATAGAAAAGAGCTGGCTTACCATATGACCATGAGTCGTGAGCAGGATGTAACAAGTGTTTTACATGGAAATATAAAAAACAATGACAGTTGTTGCATTGCTAAACTAAACTAGGAACAATAGTTAAGTGAACCCCTGTTATTTCACTAATAACCATCTTGTTGCACGAGACACAGTTAGTGAGTGCGTATAGTAAACTGGCTCAAACTTTGCACATGGAACATGTGCAGCATGCAATACACGGTGACACATGGTAGTTACTGGCATTATATGTGTATGATAGCAAATGAAGACATTTCTGCAATATGCATGATTGAAGCTGGCCAATCACAGAATGCAGTCGCCCGACTCTTTGGTAAATCTAAAAGTGTGAAATCCCGACTGATGGAACGATATCGGCAAACAGGTTGATTTGAAGTTAGGGTGAATAGAGGAAGGCCCAGAAAGACTTCTCCTGGGCAGGATCGACAAGTACGCACTATTGCATTGAGAAACAGATTCATTTCTGAGGGACAACTTCGGGGCTGCCACAGGAATCCGACTTTTGACGTCAACGATATGAAACAGACCTGAGATCAAGACACCCTTCCAGAGGAATGCGATGCATACAAACACCTCAGACACAGTGGACACAGCAGTTGGGAGATCGTCAAAAACGACATATACACCATGTTTTCGGATGAATCGAGGTCCTATTAACGCTTTCCAGATGGTAGATAATGTGTTCTCCTCTTGGTTACAGGTGTTTCCAGTGTGTGTGGGGCAAGACAACATACAGAGGAAGTAGTGTAGGCAATGGGGGTTCTGTCGCAAAGTTGAGAACACCACAACTGGAGCATGCTTTTGCCCAAATCTAGGCTTTTATCAGGTTCATTTGGGTGTTAAGTTTGTGTGAATTATGTGATGACTATCCAACTTAGCTAAATTGTAACGAAAGGGGGTTCAGGCTCACCACCACCTTGGACCAGGCTTAGACCCTATCAATGCTTCTACAGAGGTATTATCTATAGAAATTACAGGTTCACAGCAACGAACATTAAAACAGTACATGATTGGTTCTCCAATCAAATGCAGTTCTGGCAAAACCAGCTAAACTTTGCTATATGGTGTGCCACAACAGGTTGTGGAGTATCTTTTAGTGATCATCGCGACACACTAAGTAAGCCTGTTTTCTTCAGACTAGACGCAGCATTACAGAAATAAGTGCACTATTACCGAAGGATCAAGCATGGAATGCATGAAATAATCCATACTACCGTCAGGCATATGAACGTATTTGTGGGGACTTTGCTATTTCTATGAGTAAAGATTGGTGTCTGCATGTTAACCATCGTCTAGGTATTCCGTACGGTGGCGTTAACTGTTTTTAAGAAGTTAGTGATGATTTCCTGAAAAGAGGTCGACATCTTCAAAACTTTGCTCTCGATTAAAGATTGGAAAGACGACCGTATGAACTTTAAGGGTGGTGTTGTTTTCACCGTCCAAAAGGTTGAGCAGCCACAAAATGCTGAAAATGTTTTGAAAAAATTCATTTGAAATAAATCAGAAGGTTTTACTCACCCTGGCGTTGAAAGAATTAATGATTCAATCAGAACTTATGTATGGGCTCTCCTTGGAGCTCAGTCACAAACATGCTCAAACAGCTTTTGATGCGCAAAAGCAGTTTACTGGGAATGTAGAGGTTGCTATTTCATCACCTGTCGACCTACCTTTGGCCATCAGGCGATACCAAGATGTACTACAGTATGTGGAAACTAAAGTAGACTATGTTTTTGGAATAGGTTTGTACATGTCACTGAGTAACATGCAACTTAAAATTGTTTAAGTGGTAGGTTATAATAATAAAATTGTAGTTGCTACCGATCACCAAACAATTGGTTTCAATTCAGATCTTAACACTGTAGTAATTATGCAACCAAAGGGGCAAAACAGGAATAGTCAAGCCACAGCCATCTTCTGTAATTAAACCAAAAACAGAAGTGCAACAGCCACATGTTGTGTGTCAAAATCAACAACATATTGATGAAAATTCAGCGATTATAGTAGGTGGTGTCACAGTGTGTTTACTCATGATTTGGATAAATAGTCTTTAGCAGCTGCATACAACACCCCAGCAATTGCTACTTTCACTGCCCACAAATTTGACTAAGCCAAGTGGTGGTCTTGGCTAATAAATTCACGAGTCAGGACACAATACTCCCTATTATACCAGGAAGTGCAGATGCGACGTTCCAAGCGAGCTTTCCTAGTGCTTCTCCTAATGCCTTTAAATGCTTTTTTATCCACTCTTTTACACCTACCTCATCACTAGAAGGTGTGCCACCACCTATACAACCATCTCCAGTTAACGCAAGAGCCAAAGTTGATATAATCAATCCCAATAAATTTTAAAATACTGGTAATGGTTATCCCCTGTTCTCTGAACAATTTTTTAATTCATTCGGCCAGTATAGTGTCATCATTGAGGACTTGATCAATAGTTTCTTGAATTCGACCGATTTGTGAATGAAGTGCTTCTCTATTAGTGGAAGCCGCTTTCAAGCAGGCTGATATTTCATCTTCTAAGTTACGCAATCTTTCTGCAACGCAATGTCTACTGAATTCATCATCTGCCTGTGTGAGTTATATGCTTGTAGAGTTCATCCAGCTTGGTTATATTATTGTTGAGTGATCCCCACATTGTTTGCTTTGCCTTGTCAAGACATCGTAATTCTCTAATACTGTACTCCAAAGATGGTGCCTGTAATGTAGAATCTTCAAAGGTTGATAAGATTTCTTCGAGACCATCTGAGGCTTCCTTTGGGTGTTGTGGTATGTCTTCCAAATTATCTTTATCTATGGCTGCCACTGTTGCACCAAGTTCAGTCTACACAGTCTGAAGAACCTTAGTAGTCTTTGCATAAAGTTTAGCTGGTGAGTTGTCATAGTCTATCTATTTCCTTACGACCTAATTCATTACGAATGATGTTGATGCTGCCACGACACCCAGCTATTGTAGACAAAGCTAGGGGTTTCCGAGTTCGAATATTTTTAAGATCAATATCTGGAGAGCTACGCCGTCGCAATATTTCTTTACTATCTATTGTAAACTTGGAATAGTCACGGTCAATAGGAGCAACATATTTTTTGTCTTCTTTTAAGACATCCTAATAATCCTTAACAGCTGATTGCAAAAGTTCCCCATTAAGATTCATAAAGCTGGTTTCATCAGGCCCCCCTTCGGCTGTAGTAGTATCAGTTAGGTTATCTAGATTAATATCATCCATTTTTTGCATTAAACATAAGGAAACATAATTTCAATATTAACAATACTTCGCAATACAGGCGCAAGTTAAACCAACAATGTAGACTTCTGGATCCATTAGGAGTCAATTCGCCAGACTGTAACTATAACTAATAACCCTAGCACCATTGATCAGAATCAAACACTTCTGGTTCACTTTCCAAATCACGGTGCTCTTGGAACTGCCAGACTATCATTTCAAGTTAGTTTGACTTTGACTGACGTTAACAGGGAGATTGTTCAGAACATAGGTCGTGCAATTGTAAAGAAAATCATCATTAAAATTAGCGGTAATGAGGTCTTGAGTATTGACGACAGCGATGTATCTTTCTGTTACATGAATCTCTGGAGAACAGCAAAAGAACGGGAAAACTTACAGTATCAAGGTATTGGTAAGAAACAATATCTCACTGGAGTATGATATCATAACAGATCCTTAATTAGCCAGACCAATTCGTAACCAGTATACAGGAAGTTTATCCATTTTGTACGATCACGTTCTTTGACACTGAAAGATTTCAAGGGTCAAAAGTGATACAATGTGGAATATCATTCTAAACATTCCAGCTAGATCATTGAATGATATTTTAATGTTGTTCTATATAATCAACTATATAGTCAAGGCATGCGAGCATATCAACAGTGGGATGAGATTAAAAAACTCAGAAGTTAACACGGTGGCAAAAGATCTGACTTTTGGGGATGTATCACTGGTTGAATTCCTTACCTTGAAGTATGCGCTATTGCTTGACATGCGAACCACAGATGATAACCAACTACATGGTAGTGGGCGGAGAATAGAAAATGCTAGTGAGGGCGTTTCTATACAGATGACAAAGAAGGCTGAAACGGCTGGTAAATTAAACTTATATTTGTACGTGATTTTGGACGCGCAACTTAATATACAAAATGGAAGATTCATGCAAGGGATCTGTTAATAATCTTTTACCTAAAGAACTGCACTGTGGTATCATCTGCAGGCAAA